CGATGATTGGCGTAGGACATCTATTTTCCATACCTTTATCAAAATTGGAGATAAAAACTGTAAAGTCATCATTGACAGCGGAAGCTACATCAATGTTGTCTCTTCCACAATGATAACCAAACTTAACCTGAAATCGACACCCCACCCAAACCCCTATAAGGTTGCTTGGATTAACTCAACTGCCATGGAAATTAAAGAAAGGAGCCTTATCCCTATAGAGTTCGTGGCATATCAAGAAAAGATTTGATGTGATGTTTTGACCATGGATGTTAGTCAGATTATTCATGGTCGCCCTTGGCTATTTGACAACGATGTCCACATTTATGGGAGGACGAATACCTGTGTATTTGAACATAACAATAAGAGGATCAAACTTAAACCCTCCCAACCCAAGCCTAGTGAGGATGAAGTTAAGCCTAATAAAGGTTTAAACTTCTTGACTCCGAAGGAAATGGATGTTGAGTTTCATCAAGGATCCCCCATGTATGCCCTTGTAGCTAGAGAAGTGCTGACCAAGAGGAACATGTTCCCGATGAAGTCAAACCCCTCTTAGAGACTTTTGTTGATGTCTTCCCGGAAGACTTACCCAACCATCTCCCATCCCTTAGGGATATCCAACATGTCATTGATCCTGTTATGGGAGCTTCTCTGCCCAACCTCCCACATTATTGCATGAACCCAACGGAACATGCTGAGCTAAACAAGCAAGTGGATGAGCTCTTGCAATGTGGCTTCATCAAAGAGAGCCTTAGCCCTTAGCTGTCCCCGCCCTTCTAACCCCCAAAAAGGATGAATCTTGGAAAATGTGTGTTGATAGTCGCGCTATCAACAAAATCACGGTCAAGTAGTGTTTTCCCATCCCGCGTCTAGATGACATGTTAGATATGATGACATGAGCCACCTTTTTTTCTAAGATTGATCTTAAAAGTGGCAACCACAAATTAGAATCCGCCGAGAAGATGAATGGAAAACCACTTTTAAAACCAAGAATGGATTATACGAATGGATGGTTATGCCTTTCAGTCTGAGTAATGCACCGAGCAAATTTATGAGAGTTGTGACCCAGGTCCTAAGACCCTTCTTAGGAAAGTTCATAGTAGTCTACTTCGATGATATACTAATCTATAATAATTCAGTGGATCAACATATTGATCATTTGAAGCAAGTTTGTGAAGTTTTAAAGAAAGAACAATTGTATGTAAATCCTAAGAAGTGTACATTCCTTACTGATCATGTAATTTTTCTTGGATTTATCATATCCTCCCAAGGTAAATCCGCTGACCCTGAGAAAGTGCGAGCAATTAATGAGTGACCCGAACCAAAGAATATCAGAGATATTAGGAGTTTTCATGGACTAGCCACATTCTATCGGAGATTTATTAGGAACTTTAGCACTATAGTGGCCCCAATAACGGATTGCCTAAAGAAAGGAGAATTTCATTGGACTACTTATGCCACTAAGGCATTCGAGGAAATAAAAAAAATGAAAGGTAGAAGCCCCATTTATGAAATTACCTGATTTTTCTAAAGTTTTTGAGGTAACCTGTGATGCTTCTAGAATTGGAATTGGTGAAGTCCTATTCCAAGAGGGACATCCAGTTGCTTACTTTAGTGAGAAGTTGAACAACATTTGGCAGCGATACTCCACCTATGATAAAAAGTTTTATGCCATCATTCAATATCTTCAGTATTGGAGACACTACCTACTTCCGCAAGAATTTGTAGTCTTTTCGGATCATGAAGCATTACGATACATTAATTCTCAAAAGAAACTCAATGCCCGACACGGAAGATGGGTTGAGTTCCTACAAGAGTACGCTTACACCATTAGACATAAAGAAGGATCTAAAAATAAGGCTTCATACGCCTTAAGTCATTGAATAATGATCACTAAAGAAATTAGGATTGAAGTAATTAGATTTGAGCGATTTAAGGAAGACTATAAAGATTGCCCTGATTTTAAGGAAACATACTCATTACTGACGACTGGATGTAAGCGAATAATCAATGATTTTTTTTTAAAGATGGATATCTTTTCAAATCCCAAAAACTTTGCATACCTAACACTTCGCTTGGAGAGTTCCTTGTCTGGGAAATACATGCTGGAGGGCTCGCTGGTCATTTTGGATAAACTAAAACTATCGCTTCAGTAGAACACTGATTCTATTAGCCTAGTCTGAAACGCGACATTAGTAAGCTGGTGAGTAGAAGCCATATTTTTCAACTAGCTAAGCAGTGAAAACAAAATATGGGACTCTACATACCACTCCTTGTACCAAATTATCCTTGGCAGGATGTGAGTATAGATTTCGTTCTAGGCCTACCCAAGACCCTTAGGAAACATGATTCAATCTGTGTGGTCGTCGTCCGCTTTTCTAAAATGGCCCATTTCCTCCCATGTTAAAAAACCTTTGATGCTTCTCAGATTGCCAAATTATATTCGATGAAATTGTTAGACTACATGGACTACCTAAGACCATAGTTTCCGATCGAGACGTTAAGTTCACTATTTACTTTTGGAAAACCTTATGGCTTAAGATGGGTATGAAACTCCAATTTTCCACTGCTTTTCATCCCCAAATTGATGGACAAACTAAAGTTGTTAATAGGAGTCTGGGTAACCTTCTAAGGACCTTAGTAGGAGAACATGTTAGAGAGTGGGATTCCAAACTTCTAGTAGCTGAGTTTGCTTATAACAATTCCGTTAATCGAATTACAGGCCTAAGTCCCACTGAGGATGTGTATGGGTATAAGCCTAAACAACCTATAGATTTAATTCCCATGTGTCTTAAGATTAGAGCATCAGAGTCTGCATCTGCATTCGCATCTCATCTCCAAAAATTGTATAAGAAAATCAATAAAAGAATTCAACAAAGCAACACTCACTATAAGCTTAATGCTAATCATAAGAAAATATTTAAAGAATTTGAAGTTGCAAATTTTGTAATTGTACGGATTCGTCCGGAGCAGTTCCCTCAAGAATCCGTTAAAAAGTTGCATGCTAGGAGTGGAGGGTCTTTTAAGATAATTTCAAAAATAAACAGTAATGCTTATGTGCTAAACCTTCCTGAAGGTTTTAATATAAATCCTACGTTTAATATTGAAAATTTAGTAACCTTTGAGGGACCTGAGTTTAACCCTAGTAATCCACTACATGATGAGCCTTGTGTGAACCCACCCAGTGAGATCCCAAACCTACCTCCACTACCCAATCTACCTCATTTATCTAATGCGAAGAGGGTTGAAGCTATACTTGACGATGAAATCATTTCCACTAAAGAAGGTGGGCACCAAAGGTACTTGGTTCATTGGGAAGGAAAGCCGATAATAAAGGGCATGTGGATTGAGCAGGATGAGCTGCAGAGGTTGGATCCATATCTGCTTGAGCTATCCGAGGCCACCCGGGGAGAATGATGGGGACATCGACAAGAGATTCCAACGCGTTTATCAGAGGAAATATCGAAGATCGATGGCCATGATGAAGAGCCTTTACTTTTGATGCACTTTATGTATTATTTATTTTTATATTTCAGCTTTTTCGATTTTACCCATATGGGTAGTTAGTTTGCTATTGTCGCCCAAGGGGTATTCTAGTCTATTTTCTTTTGTCATGTCGAGGCCTATATATATAGCCCCTTCTTATATATTGGGAGGATGATTGATTGAATAAAATTATGAGTTTTCTTTGTTTTCCTCAATGTTGAGTGTTTGAAAGAAGAAAGAAGGCCCTAGGTGAGGGCGATCGCAATACCCGTCAGCCTTTGGAAGCCTTTGGAAGCCTTTGGAAGGGTCTGAGGCTCGTAGCTCCACTTTTTTACTCCTCTCATCTCCTCCGACCTCTCCCCACTCTCCCCAACACCGCCGGCCTGCTTCCTCTTCCACCGCCCCTCATGTTTCCCCCACCTTGGTTCCACCACCACTTCCATACCAAACCCCCATACCACCGGCCACCCTCCCCATCCATCCCCTAACCTCCCATTAATTATCTTGAATGCTTTCCTTATTTAGGAAGATAAAATTTGGAGGGATTTTAACTTCAAATTCAAATAGATTTGCGTTAATTTATTTCCTAATTTTCTATCCTAATTAGGTAACTCTTTTAATCCCTCAAATCTGAAATCAATTTCAGATTTCTTTTATTTATTTATTTATTTAATTGCATTGGCCCACAATCCCAATTAAATAAATTCCCCAAATCCCCCTCCATAGGGCCGACCGCCCCCTCTCTCTCTCCAATCTCATTAATTGGAGTCCAATTAAGGATCCAATTAACTAAATTTCTATCCCTAACCCTATTTTAATTAAAATCTGAATTTACTATCAGATTTTACAATTAACTCCCTCTCCAATTCCTATCCTAGCTACCTCTCTCATACCCAAACCCTAGCCTACCGCTGGCCTTACCCCCTCCTCCCTCTCCTTCCCTACTTGCTTCACAAACCCGCCGCCCTAAGGAGTCCAAGAGAGGAGCCTTCCACACCCATGGATGGCTGACCCTGAGGTCGACCACGATTTTTCTTACAACGCACAAGGAGAAATCGATATCCTACTTTCTCCTTTCTATGAATCGGATTGGGAAAAAACGACTTCGTGGAGAGCTATGCCAACCGCATCCTTTATTGCCTCATGATTGAAGATCAACAATCCAAAGCACATTGGCTTCTCATCGGACGATCCACTCCTCCTCCACCGCCGATTACCTTCTCTTAGATCAAAGCCATTGGTGTTGCTACCATCTTAGTGGCATCGTTTAGTGTGCTGAAAGCCTCTCTCCGCTAACGCCTTTTATTGAGTGTGAGTGAGAAGATTAATTGATTGACAGATGAATAGAACATGATGATAGACCAGCCAAAGATATTAAAGAATAAGGTTGCAAATTAGGAAAGTTGCATGTTTTGGTGTTGTGCGACAATGACATTCTCCAAAAAAAAAGGCTTCATATAGAAACGCTAACCATAAAAGATTTTTCATAGTTCATGATAAAGCTCCAAGGAATTTACCAGTTTAGCTTGTGGCGCATTATTGGGCTCTGCATAAGTATTGTGAATGTAGGACACAACATGTTTTTCCACTTCGATACTTCCATCTGAAGCGACTTCTTTTTGTTCTCTGCAGTCCGAAGTTGAGCTTGGAGGGATATGAACTGTCTGGAAGCTTTCACCTAAAGTTTCCATGACATCAAGAACCTCAAAATCTTTCGCACAGAATGAATTCAATTTTTTCATTTGATGCCCAAAATCTCTCATCTTGCCATCATCATATTGACAGTTTTCTGGATTGACTGATGATTTCTTATCAACCACAGTCATTTCTGGGCCTTTCTTGCTTGTAGGAATCTTTGATTCATAGTCAGAGAGCAGGAATACAATGCCTGATGCATCATGAGAAGATTGATGCATTTTGAGTTCATCAGAACGATCAGAATCATCAGAAGAGAATATGCCATCATAAAAAGAAACATCTGTATGTTCTACCGAGTCTTCCTTCTCAGGACTCTTTTGTCGTTCAGGTATTGTGGAAACCATACGTTGAAGGCCAGAAATTGAAGAGCCATCTACCATTGAGCCACAAATGCAGCCATGATCTTTATCTTGTGTATAATTTGAGGAACTTCCATGGTTTTCAATGAGTTCTAAGGCACATTTGCTCATTTTATTTTTGCCCTCAGACTTAGGCATATGAAAATTGTAACGTTCGCATGGTTCTTTGGAGAAGTTTCCTTCGACAAACATTTCAGAATTTTCTTGTGTTTGACATGATTGATAAGAAGCATCTACTTGCTTATCATTTAGCACATTTGATCCCACTTCAATTCCACTGTTTAACCTGCTTGACATGAATTGGCCCTGAAAACTTTTGTAACTGGCATCGTTGCAGAATTTTCCCTCTTCCAATGATAGGCTATGTGCTGCAATATCCACATCTTCCTGGACAACAGGCACCAAAGAATTTATAGAAGGTTTATTCAAGTCCGTCTTAAAGTTTTCTTTGTGGACATCATTCTCCTGCATGTAACTGTCTGTAACCAAATAACTTGCTTCTTCAATATTTACATCACTGCACGTCAAGCACACGCTAGAGGAAGATGAGCATTCAAATTCACTTTCAATGAAAGATGAAATCAAGGGATTGGTGCTCTGGCTACCACAATTTCTTTTCTCCATACTATTTGGATCATTAAACTGACTTAGCCGTGCAAAATCGTTCTCTATAGAACACAAACTAGTATGAGCCAGTTCATTTTGGTTTCTCTCAGGTGGATCTATTAGACTTCTTGAAAACTTGTTTTGCTCGTCCACAAGTGAAGAGAAAAATGAGTATGCATTTTTACTTGCTAAAGTACAGGATGATCCTTCAAGTTCAGAGTCAAAAGAATAATTATCAGTTGAACTTACATCAAGTATTGAAGGTGATTTGATTTCACTTGGTGAGTTTCCATCATTTCCAGCTACTGCAGTATCTAATGAATAACTTTTGGGTGTAACGGATTTAAAGTCATCTGATGTCTCCATGTAATAAAATCTATTCTTCATAGCCATATTGTAGGTTGCAATAGCATTTTCAAAAACAGAACTTTTTTGTCTCGTGTTGCATGGTTCAACTTCTACAACACTATGAACCTCAAGATGTGAGAAAGTAGGAGAAGAAGATTGAGATTGCTGATTATCTTCTGAGGATCCAACATTTAGAGAACTCACATTCATGTAGGCTTCAACATCTAAAGTGCCAGCCACGTGCTCCGCTTTAAGGCCATTTTTAACATCCTTGTGAATTGAATCAGGAGCCCCCTTGCCAATATCAACGAAACAAATACTTGTATTCTGATCAGTTGGGTGCTCAGAATATGAAGAAGATGACAAGTTCTGAAACATACAAGTCTGCGTTTTGCTCAAATGACAATAACATACAACTTCAAAATGATTGCTCTCGATACTGTTACTACAGCTAGTTTCATGAACAAAATCATCGGTGGTCGGGGATAATCCAGGGGAGGTTTCGCCAACTATGTATTTTACATTAGTGGCATCATATGAAGCACTCAAAAATGGACTCTCAAACTCAATATCACTGAAGTTGCTTTCAGATTCAACAGACCTTGAAGCAGAATGTTGAGAATGATGCCCATAAGGAATTTTCTACATTGGATAGCATAATACATATAGAAAGCATTTCAAATTGTAGATGGAGATTTACTTTATAAAGGAGTTAATTTTAAACGATAAGACTATAAATTTAATAATAATGAATATTAAACCTACTAGTCTGCAAATTTCCCTTGCATCATTCCATGGGCTACTTGCACTGAAACTTGAAGGGCTACACCATGAAAGCTCCAGATTTCTGCGAATACTGCCCACCAAATGGGTGGGCATAGCAATGTTATGGGTGACAATATCAAAATATGGAACCTATACAGCAAAAATTATACAATATGAGTCAGATGCATAAAGGTTCAGAACCAGGAAAAAAAATTGATATGCGTCCTGCCACTCTTACATTCAATTTCTTAGACCTGGCTTTCTTAGATAGAGAACGAATACACATGCAAACTCTGCGAATATCTCGCTTCTCAACAACATCGGATGGCGAGAACAAATCAATTCCAGTTAAACCAAGGATCTGACAAATCTGTCAAGAAGAGAAGAAATAATATCAATGATCAGTCATAGAAATCTATGGCTTTAGGCAATATTCTCTGGATTAAAGGACGTTACAAGAATAGTAGTCTTCTACTATGAAGAAAAATAATTTTGCATTTTCAAACCCCTAATTGCCTGAATTAAAATCACATTCTTAAACATAACAAGATAAGTTTGCTGGTAAAAAAATAAATAAATTGAACTATTTAAATTCAATAAAATCACATTCTTAAACATAACAAGATGAGTTTGCTGGTAAATTAATTTAATAATAAATTTCTTTAGCTAAAGTTTATTAAATTTCACTATTCAGCGAATATATCATTGCTCATGTGTAATTGTCCTGTAGCATTGAGAGTGGTTTCGGCTTCTCTACTTAACTTCACATGAAATGGGTGATGAAATCAGAGAACGATTATGATTAAATTAAGGTAAATTAGGTACTTTAATACAATTAACTTCACATATATATATAAACTGAAACGTTATTACCTCATCCCGTCATTCTCCATTCATAAGCAGTTAACAAAGAGCGGCTGGGAGAGAGAGTTAGGACCTAAAGGATAGGGAATGTCTGCAGTTAGGTTCAGAGAAAAAAAAAAAAATCCTTTTCTTAATGGTTTCTTCAGCAAACGACTTCAGATCGAAGTGTTGGCTTTGAGGCTTATATGATTTAAAATAAAAATGTGCTGAAAGACAAAAATGCTAACCAAATAATTCTTGGCCCATTTCAGCTTCCAACAACCTATCTTTTTCATCAACCAAATGACTTAACCACCTAAAGACTAAGCTGTCACCCCCTAGCAAATTTGTTCTATTGGTGGTAGGCATGTAATATTAATATTTTGGGTGTTAAATATGTAAATAGCATGAAATAAAGTGGTATGTAAGTAAATTTCCTTAGTTTAAATGAAGCCAGAATCAAGCAGGTACTAAGGTTATGAGTGGATCCTACAAACAACCTAGTCTGGATTAGAAAATGTTGAGCTATAACGTCCCGGATTAAAGTAGCAGACTTCAAGAAGAAAGAAGAACCAAACAGGAAATTGCTATATTAATAAAAGGTCAGCAGTATCATGCTAAGGCATAAAGAATGGAGTACCAAATAAGACCTCAATCTCCTTACAATTCATTTTTGTATCAGAAATGCCAGTATGCAAATACCCAAGGGGGGCTATGGAATAGGATACCTTCAGAAACGAATCAACCTTGGGATAAGGCATGTATCTACCATCACTTTTTCCAGATGAAGTACGCTCATATATATGCACTTTTGAATGCTTTAGTTCACCATGTTTTCTCAGGAGCATCTTCCATACTTCTTTAGACACTTGAAACCTGCAACATCGTTATGAAAATAGAAACATCATGACCTTGTTTCAGCAGCAGAAAATCTTTCCAAATGAATCTGACTCCAACCAAGCTACCCTCCAGACCTTAAGGTGTAAAATATTCTCTTTGATGAATCTGACTCTGTACATAACATGTGCGTGATCGCAGCAAATCTTTCCAAATGATAATTATTCAGGCTCTGATAGAAAACACCGCTTCAAAATGGTAATTCGAGATGACAGCTTTGAAAATATTCAAAAATGGCATACCAAAGATGGAATTATATAAAGTCGGAGCATCAAATTTAATAAAGCCATCTATTGCGGTGTATTGGAGATTGCCTTCATCAGATGTGATTGGTAGCTTAATCTAGACTTAAATTTCCTTAAGCTCATTAGAAAAATCATAAAAGGAGCCAACAATGGGAGTGGCAAGTGGATCAAGACTAATTTGATCAAAAACACACTTAATAAAGATGTTCATGAAACTCTTTATATCGATCAAAATATATAAGCGCATTTTTTTTAATTCATGAAGCATCTTTTTATTTATATTAAAATGATAATTATCATGACACATCATCATTATCTTTTAATAGTTAAAAGATATTTATCATGACACATCATCATCTCATGAAATTTTATATAATATAAATAAAAGGTGTTCATATAACATAAAGGTGCATGTTACTAATGTAATCATAATATAACATTTATGATTATGTTACATTCTTAACAATAGTGTTCAATTAATATATAATAGTGCTAAGGTGATGAAGAAGGGACCTATGGACCTATAATTCAAGCTCCAATAAATCTGACAATTAATTTAACTCTTAAACTAATAAATCAAAATGATTAAATTTCAATATTATTCTACTATAAACATGAAATTGCACTCTTGAATTTATTATATAATATACTCCATTTGAAAGATTGAATTGCCCATAAATTTAATTATTACACAAAAAATAATTCTCCATAAAAAGTTCATAATTAGAGCTAGGTAATCCTATCACCTCACTAATTATATCTTGATCCTTGAATTCCAATTAATTCTTTAATGAATAATAAACTTTGTTACTGTATCACAAAATTCGAGCACTCAATTGTTTAGGTTCTAAATTAATTATTCAGATGAACTAATTTTTTAACTTTCAAAAATTGAAAGGAATAGATCTCATATTTACTTATTAACTTTCTCAGTCATTTGTTTCATTGTATTTCTAAGATAAAAGAATTGAATTTATATCTTCCAAACTATTTTTGAATAAGTCAAGAAATCAAATATTATAAAAAAGAGTTTATTAATAACTCAGGATTAAGATTATTTTATCTATGATCATCTTTATGATTAATTTTAAAATCTCTCTAGTTAAAATAGAATTTATTAGAGAATTTAAAATTTATCTAGTCCAATTCTATATAATCATATTATATAAAGTACCTCAATTCTTAATATCTCCATATCGAATAATCCGGATAAGATTATTCCATTATTAATGTTGATGGACCATACTAATAATATTTAATTATAGGTTCCAACTATAATTAATAATTATGAACTTATTTAGATTATTATCTATAATTCAGTCATCTTGTATATAATTATATATTGAATTATGATTACATAAATAATCATGTAATAAATATAATAATAAAATATTATATCAAATGATAATATCGATATATGCTAAACTAGTCTTTAAATATTTATTTCAACAGATGAAAGGAAAGTTTAAAAAAAAAAAGATAAAAAAGAATTTGAGTTTTGACTGCTCATCGACCTCATTATCATCGTCGTCATCGCCTCACCTCGTGTTAAGGTATAACGCTCGCTAAACTCAACAAAACCTCAAAATCCCATTAGCAGTGCTTGCAGCACAATGAGCTAACCCTCTGTAGGTGCTTTTCATAGCAAGGTGAGAGGAAGCTTGTATGTGACGCTCGCGATGAAACGGGTAGACCCTATATATGCTTTTTATAGCATGACGAGGCAAAGCTCATATACGACACTCATGACGAACATGATAAGCACTGTACGCGCTTTTCATAGCATGGAGATGACACTCCTAGGTACTCGTACGTGATTGTCATAGCGTGGTGAAATAATTTGCAAGCTCTCGTGCAGACATTCCGAAGACCCATACATGCTTTTTGTAATATGATGGGATTGAAAACATTGGTTGTGATGTTATTTAACACCAACCATATATATTTTTTGTAGCTTGGTGGGTACGTCTAGCACCTCCTAAAATTTCCCCTATATAGGAGAGACTCCAGGAGGCTGCTGAAAATGATAAATCATGACTATGCTTATGTTTATAAAACACATATATAAGACTACAATTATTAGAAGATAGAGATAGAACCAATGAGTCTCGTTTATGTTTATAAAATCTATATATTGACAAAAATTATACTTACCAGAAGAAGATAGATCTCGTGCTTCACCTGACTTTAAAATAACTCATATAAGAACAAATTATATTTTATTTGAAAGTTATAAAAATCTGAAAAATGAAATCTACTTTGAATTTTACATCACCAGATCCACAACACATATTCAAGCTAGCAGAAGGTGTACTTTGGGTCTCAATGAATTTTTGCGCACCTTCCAATGGAGATCACTTGCGCATATAATCAAATTTAACTACGGGCTTTGCTAAAAAAAATAGTACTCTGGGCCTCATGATTTGAATTTTTTAATTATTTTTTTTTAAGAATTGTGGGATTTTAAAATATTTAAATTTGAGCATTGCCTAAGTGATTGTCATTGGAAGGTGTGTAAAATTAAATTGATGCCCAGAGTACGCCTTTTGCCCGCTTGCATATATGTTGTAAATCTGGTGACATAAAATATAAATATATTCTATTTGCATATTCTTTAACTTTCAAATAAAATAGAATTTGTTCTTATATGAATTATTTTAAAGACAGACGATGGCTACGAGATTTATTATCATCATCAAATAATTATAGTTTTCATCAGCATATACGTTTTATAAATATAAGTGGGACCCATTGGTTCTATCTCTATCTTCTGATAATTATAGTCTTTGTTTATACATGAGTTTTATAAATGTAGGCAGGGCCCATGAATCTTCATTTTCCTTCTATAAATAACAAATGTTCAGTTTATTCTTTTTATTTTAATTCTGTTCATAGAGTAAGTCCTCTAAAGTTTACATTTATTCTAGTATTGACGGGAAAGTTCTGCCCTTACAAGCGAGTTTTTTAGAGTTATTTTAGATTTCCTGTAAGTCTTTTAAATGTTATAAATTTTATTTGGTTATTTTCATAATCAATTTAGATTTGGTTCCCTAAACCCTAAATTTAGTTTCAATTTCAACAACCTCTCAACGTCTCCCCCGTGTAAGATAAATTTTAGGAGGTGCAAGGCCTACCACCACACTACAAAAATTATGTATAGTTGGTGTCAAATGACACTATGGTCAATATCTTCAATCTTACCACGCTATGAAAAGCATGTATTTTTCTTCAGGGTGCATGCTTGAGAGCTTATAATTTTTTCTGCTACACTATGAAAAGCGCATACGAGTACTTAGAAGTGCTTCTCCATACTACGAAAAAAAGCATACAGGGCCTACCCACATCTGATGTGGTATATCGTCACAAGTGTTACATATGTGCTTCCCCCTTGTTGTGCTATAAAAAGCGTGTACTACAAGTGTCGCCAATGAGATTTTGAGAATTTGTTGAGTTTAACGAGTGTTATACCTATACCTTAATACAAGGCAAGACAACGATGACGATAATGGTGATGAGATTAGCGAGGGGTCAAAACACTCTCCTTTTTATCTTTTCTTCCCTTTTTACTTTCTTTTTTTGTGATTTTTTTTTTTTTTTTTGCACTCCTCTCTATTAGAGAGAGAGAGAGAGAGAGAGTGAAAGTAGTTTGTTGTAGGTGGAGTTTAGTTAGTTGTAAGATGGAGATAGGTAGGTGTTGTTCAGTTGTAGGAAGTTTAACATATTGGGTTGCTTGTCTGGAGTGTAGAAATATTTTTGGGCTTATAATAGTGAGAATGAAGAAGGGAGGCAGGATGTATATGGGTTTTAGAAATGGGCACGAGTTTGGGATGGCCAGTGGGAGGGGTGATGTGGATAATAGGTTGAGAATGGATAGTAGTAGGAAGATCAAATGGCTAAAGCACGGGATGGAATTTTGTATAGCTTGGTATTGAGTGGGTTGTTAAAGGTGGGCTGGGAGTTAAGGTGGGTTGCTCGATTGAAGGAGTAGAAGAGGGATGTGTTAGATGGCATGTTGTATACGAGCTGGGTTGGAGAAGGGAGCTAGTTAGGAAGATTTCAATCTATAATGTACTGGATCAAAAAAAGTAATAGGGAGCACTGCACAACATGGAGAGGCATTTGGCTTATGAGACTTGTACGTGTATGGAAGGGTAAGAGTTCAAGTTTGTGAGTGAGGTGTTCAGTTGAGTGGCTGCAAAGGTGGAGTTCAGTGGATGAATGAGAGATGTGCGGGTAGTTGGTTGTTGGAGTTCAGTCTGCAAGTTGTAGGTGGACGTGTCAAGAAGGTTAGGAAGGCTAAGAGAGTAAACGAGTGGGAAGGTGTTTCACAAAACCATATAGGGAGTAGAGGGAGGTTGTTAAGGCTTGTTGTAGGTAAATGATGGTGAAGTTGCAGTTGAGAGGAATGGGAAAGAAGAGTCAGGAGGAGGATTATCTATTAGATGTTTGGACCAGTTACTTGTATGAGGTAGAATATATGAGAGAAAAAAGAGAGGCACGATAAAGGTAGAGGCGTGGTAAGAAAGGAGCGGGTGTTGGGTTTGAATAGAGGGAACGATTGATCTAGATTAAGTTTTTTTTAATACTTTACTCTGATAGTCTATTGGACTGGATAACGCCATACTTTTCAGAGAGAATAGGGATAAAGCAGATTTTGTCAAGGAGATAGAATTTTATATAAATTATATATATTAGTTTAAGCAATTTCATCATATATTTATAAAATATTATAAAAATGTTAAAAAGAAAAATGAATCAACCTTGCATGCAATATTTTCTTGTTCTTCGTGCTATCTCAAAATTTGTGCAGTTGACTTCTGCACAGACAAATTTCACCCTATTTCGCTAGTGCAATATCCCATCAATATGAGTGTCATTATAGATAAATTCGACATTCTGTATGCAACGAAAAAATTCATTTTACAAACGAATGTCATTCGAGCAAAATCATGAATCGACTTCGCTCAAATTGATTGCAAGAGGTCCCCTAGGGTACATTCAATGTTCCGAGCACAATGGCACGTTCCATTTTGTGATTGGACGTCGTTTATGCAATTTTGTGCAACACCACCCTCGCAAATTGTCGCTTTTTTGTTAATCCTCAATCGAGTAATGCACAAGCAGTGCTCGTTTAGTATATTCAAGTCCAGAATGCATTAATGCGATCTGTTTCACAAATAGATGAGGTGCAGGTGGTTTTGTGTATGATCGAGGCGCTAAAGTTTTTGTTGCAAGTGACGTGTCCGTCGATTGTCTTTCTAGATACACTTAATTAATCTCGGAATGCAACAATTTGTTATTTAGGTAGATTTCAAAAAAGATATGAATGTCAAGGCAATGTTATGATATTTATTTTGTGTGGGAGAGGAAATTAAAATTATATATAAGAAAAAGAAAGTACTTATTAAAAGAAAATTTATTTGATCATTAAATTAATTGATAAAAGCTTTATATTTCAGATCTATATATTATATATATATATATATTTATATATATATATATATAGAATATATATATAATATATATATATTATAATATATATATATATATATATAATATATATATAATATATTTCTCACGCTTCTCACTTCACTCTCTCTGATATGCGCAAAGAACTCTCATCTTTAGTCGGCACAAATCTGCGAGGCAAAAACCATTGAACTCAAAAAAGTAATTCGGGACATATGAACTCCGATTTCAACGAGCTTATAGTCAAACTGAGCGTCTCGGAAATAGCGAACAACACCAAGATCAACCTAATCGCCGAATGAGTCGTTGATCAGTGTTCGAAGCGCTGTGGAAGTCAACCGCAATTCTGAGTTTACAAAACGGTCTCCGATTTTATGCCTATACTCGAATCGAACGGCTGACGAGACGATCCAACGTCGCAAGATCATCAAATTCGACATATTAGCCTTCATAATCAACGAACGGTGCATGATCAAGATTCGATATCGGCCGTTCTTCAAACCACTCTGTTCGCCCATTGATCTCAATGCTATTTACGGCTATCGCCATCCAGAAAAATATAATAGAGCCCTCATTCCTACCAAGGGGCTCAAGTAAAGAGAGAGAAGAAGAAGAGTGAGAGAAGAGAAAGCGGGAATAGGATCGACACGCTTCGTCTCCTCGGAACGCCGACCTGCGGACGAACACGATGAGGAAAAAGCTCTTGCCCGCATCGAGTCTCTTATGCGCCTGAAGAGCGAACTCTTGCCGATTTTCGGGAAACACCAGGATTGCTGAAGAAGAAGGAGAAAGGGGAAAGCAGATTCTCACTCCTCGACACGGCTCGAGCTCTTCTACCGCCTGAAGACGCCGGAACTCTGCGGATTTTTGGAACCAGGA